CAGCTCCTTCTCTTTCACCGAGACTGGGAGCAGTGAGCCCGCCTCCATCCCCACAAGCCTCCCTTGTTTGCTATCTCTGCTCTCCGTGGCACCTGGTATAGAATTCAGGACCCTTCCAGTTCAGTAAGGAAATAGGATTCCTCTTATCTCATTCATATGCTGGGGAATGACTTGCACATCACTTAGTCCAGGGGTGTTTGGGGGTGAGGCTGGGGGTGAATGTTCCACTGATTGCTCCACCAGAAGAACTAGAAGTTTGCCTGTCGGGGGAGGGTACAGGCAGGGCCCAGAACCATCCTCGCAGGCACTAACCCAGTGCATCTGCGCAGTGGACGTGACCCTGGATCCCACCTCTGCGCACCCCAGCCTGGAGGTCTCCCAGGATGGCAAAAGCGTGTCCTCCCGCTGGGTGGCTGCGGTACCGATGGCCCAGGGCGACCCGCAGCGGTTCACGGAGCAGAGATGCGTGCTGAGCCGCGAGCACTTCCAGGCCGGCCGCCACTACTGGGAGGTGGACGTGGGCCGGCGCAGCCGCTGGTTCCTGGGCGCCTGCCTGGCGGCGGTGGCGCGCGCGGGGCCGGCTCGCCTGAGCCCAGCCGCCGGCTACTGGGTGATGGGGCTTTGGAACCGCTGCGAGTACTTCGTCTTGCAGCCGGAGCGCGTGGCGCTCACCCTGCGCGTGCCGCCCCGGCGCGTGGGCGTCTTCCTGGACTGCGAGGCCGGAAAGCTGGCCTTCTTCAACGTTTCCGATGGCTCCCACATCTTCACCTTCACCGACACCTTCTCGGGGCCGCTCTGTGCATACTTCAGGCCCCGAGCCCCGGACGGCTGCGAACGCCCGGATCCGCTCACCATCTGCCCGTTGCTGGTTAGAGGGACACGCATCTCCGAAGAGCACGACGGTGACACCTGGGTACAGCCCTATGAGCCCTCGGACCCCGCCCTGGGCCTGTGGTGAGGTGCTCTCCTGGCCACAGGGCTGGGTCCTGGGCAGCTTCCTGTAGGGTGGAGGAAGCACCCCCAAAATGTCAGCAAAGGCCACAGACTCAACACAACAGAAGGGGACAGAGAGTGGGACTTGGCCTGTGTAGATGTGTATGTGTACATGCACGGATATGATTTTAAGAAAAACAGTCAATTCCAAAGCTCAGCTGTGTGTATGACAGAATTCAGGAAGTGAGTAAAAACATCGATGTTGCCACCAGCCAGGGTGTCCACTGTGAAAGAGGAAACTGGAATGGGAGAAAGAAGGGAGAATCATGATTGGGTTGAATGCAGGTAATTTGAATGTTAATACATATACACCATATATAATATATGTTCTAGTTCTAAAAAGATCTAGAAACAATGTCACCTCACAAGCAATGAGTTCAGCTAGGTCTCATATCCCCGTTTTAAATGTCAATTCCCGCTAACGTGACCTTGGGAAACGGCTGATTCCAGAGCTGGAACAGAAAAAGCACAAGGTGAGTGTGGACCATCTTGTGCCGTACGGCACAAACATACTCAAAAACTAATGGGGACTCAGCAAAAGGACATAGGAGCTAGGTTGACAAGGCTCTGCTGACCAACTGTGGGACAATTTGAATGTTAAAATGAATCATGACAATACAAAAATATACAGAATACAAAAAGTACAGAAAGGGGAAAGGAGAGAGTGAAAAAATAACTCTGTGAACTCATGGTTTGTACTATGGATAGCTAGATGGAACACAAGTGTGATGGGTGGGTGGGTGGGTGGATGGATGCATGGATTTGAGTGCGTGCATACTGTAGTTCCTAGCTCTAACTGCTTTGACAATAACACCTCAGTACCAATGAACACAGCTAGCACCCAGCACTTTTTCATACTGTTTCCCACTAAAAGGAACCAAGGCTCCTTGGAGAAATGACTGACTCCGGGGCTGGGGCAGGGAAAACAAGACAGATGTGATATTGTGATATATAAATGTTTATATATTCTGGGGGAGGGGCAAAAAATGTATATGCATGAATTATATTCATCTTTTGTTATTGGTATACTGTATATTATTACCATTTTAATACAGTTTTTTTCCTTAAAATGTGTATACTTTTTTGGGTACTCTATATATTTGGTCTTCGATCTAGATTCTGGTACAGAGATCCTAAGACCCTTGGAATTTCCTAAGTAATGAAAGTAATAAGGGGGTCTTTTGATCTTCATAACAAGCCCCTTTGAAACACACCTGAGTTCATGTTAATGCCATTTCTTTTTAAAGCCCCTGATAATGGGGACTGGTTGCTTGGGGAACCAGCTAGTCATTAGAGTTGTAATTTAGCTCCACCCCCATCCCAACCTCAGGAAGGGGCTGGAGATTGAGCTATATCACCAGTGGCCAATGATTTAATCAATCATGCAAATATATTAATGCCTCCATAAAAATCCAAAAGGACTGGGTTCCAGAGCTTCCAGGTTAGTGAACACTTGCAGATTCAGGGAGAGTGGCACTCAGAGAGAATATGGAAGCTCTGTGCCACTTCCAACACACCTTACCCTGTGCATCTTTTCCATCTGGCTATTCCTGAGTTATATGCTTTTATAATAAACTGGTAGTCTACTAAGAAAACAATTTTTCCTGATATCTGTGAGCCACTCTAGTAAATTTATCAAACTCAAGTAAGGTGTTTTGGGAACCTCTGATATATAGCAGGTTGGTCAGAAGCACAGGTAACAACTTGGACTTGCAATTGGTGTGTGAAGTGCGGGGGGGGCAGTCTTGTGGGAATGAGCCCTTAACCTGAGGGATGTGATTCTGTCTCTCAGTAAATAGTATCAGAATTGAGTTAGTAGCTTGGTGGTTTGGAAAAAACACATACCGAATGGGTCTAATACACCTTGTACCAGAAAGCAAGGAAGTGCTCAAAGTACGATGGGGAGATGTCAGTTGGACATAAAAGTGAGCTTGAAGGGACTCCCACTGGCCAAATTTGAACATCAAAGTAATTAATGGCAATTGCAGATTAAGTAAAATAAGAATGCAAGAGTATGTATATCTACATGGATATACGCAGTCTGACAATTAGGTTCGCGAATTCATCCTCGAAAAAGTGCAACATACCTCTTGCTGACTATCTCTACCATCAACTTCAAAGTACTCCCCTTGGGAAGCTATGCACCTAGTCCACCCTTCAAAGCAGTTTTGGAACTCTTTTTCTGGAATGGGCATCAGAGCTGCTGTCGCATTACCCTTGATGTCCAAAATGTCTTCCTTTCAATATTTTCTTTATCTTTGGGTAAAGAAAGAAGTCATTGGGGGCCAGATCAGGTGAGTAGAGATGATGTTCCAATACAATTATTTGTTTACTGGCTAAAAACTTCCTCACAGACAGTGCCTTGTGAGCTGGTGCATTGTCACAATGCAAGAGCCATGAATTGTTGGCGAAAAGTTCAGGTCATGTAACTTTTTTACTCAGCCCTTTCAGCACTTCTAAATAGTAAACTTGGTTAACTGTCCAGTTGGTAGAAACTCATTATGAATAATCCTTCTGATATCAAAACGTATAGCTTATACAAAAGGCAACATTAAATTATTTTTAAATAACCAATCTCTCCATCAGTGCATTTTAAGTAATGGAAAGCCCAGCCTTAAGGTTGGAAGGAATCTTAAACATTCAGCTACATGTTTTGTGAACCATAAAAGCCATGCTGGAGGCCACCCACGAGGCCAGACCACTCAGTGTAGACACTCATCTCCTTCCAGCTCCTGCCCCATTACCCACTGACAAGTATCTAAAAATAAGGCATGATATATTTAGTTCTCCCCACTGTTCACATTTTCCATGCAGCTAACCCTCAGAGCGGAGACAGGTGAACACAGCTATTAGGTGTGGATCCCAGTCCAGCGGGCAAGCACACCTGTGATGAGTCTGGCTGTGAGCCTCCTGCTTGAGGCAGTCTGGGACAACTAACGCACAAAGTCTGGCAGAGCAGAGAGAAGACCTTGGCGTCAATAGTGGATGCTAGTCAAGTTTTCACTGGTCCCATGGGAATCTTAAATGGAGAGAGAAAGATCCCCATAGATAGGGCACTACCACACATTTTTGAGGGGCTTAAAAATCAGAGCAACCATTTTGAGGTCAATTTTGGTAATGTCAACCCATTTCTAAATATGAACCCGACAGTTCCCCATCCAGCAATCTATCCTACAGAAATAGTCACACCAGCACCTGAAGATACAGAGGATGCTCACTGCAGCAGTGTGAAAAAGAGGTTGGAAACCACCTACTTGTACTAGGAGAACAAGTAAATAAAATATGGTCTGTTCATACACTAGGGTACTATGACCGTCAATTTTTATGGTGCCATCAATTTTTACAGGGAGGATTGCTTTTGTAATTAAAAAGTAAGTAATGCCTCCTTTCTTTCTACCTCATGTCAATGGGAAACAATCACAAAGAAATCCTTTTAAAATATACACCTGATCATCTGAACAGTCAACACTTGGGGTAGTGACATGACATGTTTTCATGTCTTTTATTTTTATGTATTTATTTATTTTTAGTTAGAGCTTTTACTTGACATCACATTTGATTTGCACTTCTCAGACTCTGCCAGAATAAATAGTAATAGTAATTCAATAACAATGCGGGCATTTAACATCCTGCCAGTAGTACGTTTTCATGTCTTTCAGAGTGTTCATATCCCTGCCTGTAGAATTCTTCTCTCTTGTCCTCAATAGCATCTTGGGCAGAACTCATAGTGTTCCTATAAGTGATCTGTCCAGCTTTCAACCCTACTCTCCTGTTTAGTTCTGACCTCCAGCAGGTTGGGGGCATGCAGTGGGGTGGGGGGCGTCCTGCCTCTGACAGACTATTTCTGTTCCCTCGGCGCTGAGGCAATGACAGATGCAGCCACAGCCTCCCCTGGATCCCCCCCAGGCTCAGTTTCCCCAGCTTTGGTTGATCCCCTAACCTCTGCTCCATCTGCTAATGCAGGACACCCCAATGCCTCCTCACCTGCAGACAGCAGTGTGCTGGGGAAAGATGAAGCAAAGTGGCTCAATTTGGCCCACTTTCCAGGTGTTCTTTTAACCCCCAGGAAACTCAGGCCACGGGTGTGTGCTGTGTTGAGTGGGGGTTGGATGGGCTCTCTCCAAGGGCCATGTCTCCCTGTTTTGTCTTCCTCTGGGCAGATCAGCAATCTGATCAAACGAGATGCCAAGCTCCTCTTCTCNTTCTATTCACTTTATATGTGTAGGTCTTTAATCCATCTGAAATTCGGCACTGTATGTGGTGGTAAGTGAGAATCCAGTGATTTTCCCCCCCATATAGAGTCGACTTTCCCCATGCCATCTATTACACCATCTGTGATTCCCATTGATGTGGGTGCCACCTTTAGTGCATATTTGATTCCCATATCTACATCGGTCTCTCTGGTGGCTACCTATTGTGTCATTGTTTCTAAAATATATGGCTTCTATAATGCTTAAAAGTACAAGTTCTGCATTTCCACTTCCTTTTTAAAGTTAACTTTTTTAAAATATAAATTTTGGGATAAATGTATGAACGTCCTTTTAAAAGATCAAAAAATAGATTTGCATAGGATTGCTTTGAATTTCTTGCTAACTTTAGAAAGAATCAACATCTTTATAGAATTGAGGTAGTCTATGAAAGAGTTATATGTTTTGAAAATTCTACTGGTTATTCTCATGCAAAAATCAGGGCTGAAAAGCCCTGTTGTAATTTTTGGAGCGCTCTTCTATTGCTTTTGCTATGTTGTGACTTAGTAATCAATATCTGTTATAAAACAGAGCAAGATGAAATGAAGCAGAAATCCACTCAGAATGGCTCACGTTAAGAAAGGAGACAAGACAGGGTGTCTAGATGACATCTTAGGACAGGAGCCAGCCTCAGCTGGGCCTTCTGGGGACCAACCCCATCAGTCAGAGATTGAGGCTTTCTCTCCATCCTTCGGAGCACCCACACCGCTCGTACTAGTTCTCTTTGCCCACATGCTCTGTTCTCCTGCAGTTCCCAGCACAACCACAGCCTGCCTGCAGCTTTGATATAATTCAGCACTGACACCAGCCCCCTACCCAATCCCAAGTCCCTGGGAAAATGCCATAGTGAACCCAGGACAGCCTGGACCCACACCAGCTGTCATGGTTGGAATAGGGTCATTCCATTTGACCTTCACACATTTTTTTTTTTTAGCTGAGCCATCCTGCCACCTGTTGGCAGCTCAGCGGCTGCTCAGCTCAGGCCGGACTTGAACTGCTGTTGCTCAGAGCTCAAACTCTTGAGCGAGCTCTTAACCATCTGAGCCACTCGGCCGGCCCTGACCTTCACACATCTTGAGCCTCTCTCAAGTTTCCAGAGTTAGTGACTCAGCTCTCTGAGCCTCTTTTTCCTCTGTTTGGTTTCAGAGTGGAGAGCAGCCCAACAGTATGCAGGTAACTGGAACCAAGACACTCAGCTTTGTGTTAGCTGGATCGTAAACAGAGGGAGATGGAAAGATCTGAGATTAGAGGAAGGGTCTGTCCAGAAGCCAAGCATGAACCTGCACACACAGACACACAAGCCCACTTGCACACATATGACATGACACACATGCCTCCATATGCACACATGCACACATACATGCTTGCGTGCATACATGTAATTGACTCACAAA